AAATAAATAAATAAATAAATAAATAAATAAATAAAATTTCCAGGAGTCTGCAACGAAGCCAAAAAGAGTACTCCACTGAGGAAAGAGGTATTTTCCTAACAAGAAGGAGTTCAAACTTGAAACTGGAATAAAATTTTAGATCCTACTCCCCACCCGCTGAAAAACCCTAGATTAAGAGTAGGACAAGAATATTCAGGATTTAGAGAGGAGGATGCCTTCAAAACCAACCCATTTGGAATTTGTCTTAAGAGCCAAGGATTTTACCCACACTGGGGATCACAGGAAATGGCTTCCCCTGAGATGGGTTTGATATTTTAAAAAGAGGGCAGTTCTGAGCTAGACAGATGAGGATGATGGAGGATAGAGAAAGGAGAATCTTGTTTTATCTGTGTGGGTATCCTGCTGTATGACCCTAAAGGTATTATCCATCTTGATGCTCAAAAAACTTGAATCTGGAAATCTAAGAGATCAACTTCTTCTTTTCATGTGGCTCTGATTCCTGCTTGTCCACATAATTTAATTCCCATGGTACCTCTATTGTTCAGCCATCAGACTCAGCTCAGCTCAGCTTCTGAACCTTTGCTAATTCTAAGGGTAAATTTCCCTGTTGCTGTTACAGCGTTACTATGGAAACAGTTATGACACAGATTGGGAAGCCCTAAGAATCAAACTGTACTCTGTGGATCCAGGAGAACATCAGAGTGTCTATGAAACAGAGAGGGATGGTCATGTAGCTTCATGCTAGATGTCCTGGAGGGAAAAAAGGTTGATTTTCTTTTTGAACTCCAATTCCTACTTCACATAAAGCAAGTCAATTGCTTTTTGTACAACGGTGAGGTTTATCTACTTGCAGAAAAAAAAAACTGGAATGTAGCTGTGTATATTCTTTGAGAGCAATTAACAATCAATACAGTGGGAATAGAATTTAATGAATCAGAATTCACTTTTTCTCATGAAAGTCCTCCACCAGAGGCATCAGATTTTTTGCCTAAATTTAAGCACATAAAAAAATAGGTTCATAAATAGGCATATTTCCTTTTTTTCTTACACCCATCAAGAAGATTTAGATCTTCAGCAATTTGCCAAACCAGAAATCCAGACAAAGAGGTATGTCTCCCTGCATCCTCCTTATCTCAAGCTTTTTAAAATTTCCCACTCATTGCCTTTTTCTCTTCATTTCCTTCTACATTGCTCTCGAAAAATGTACAATGACTTTTGAAAACATACTGTATCATGAACACTGTGGTGGGCTGACTAATTCCCTCCCCCTCCAAAGATGTCCATGTCCTAATCCTCACAGCCTGTAAATGTGTTACCTTACGTAGTAAAAGAGACTTTGCAAATGTGATGAGATTTAGGATCTTGAGATGGGGAGATTAGCCTGGATTATCCAAATGGGCCTAATCTAATCACAAGGATTTTTTGTTAGGAGGATGGCAGGACAGTCAGAGTTAGTAACAGATGTGATGATTAAAACAAGAGGTTAAAGTAATGCGAGGAAGGGAATCAACAAAGCAGTGAATGTGTGGAGGATCTTGAAACTAAAAAAGTCGAGAAAGCTCTCTCTCCCTTTCTCTGCCATTGTGGTGTATGGGGTGGTCTCCCTTCCTCACCATGTCTTCTCGTAAGACTTTCAGGATCAGGCGATTCCTGGCCAAGAA